ACAATGTCTATTTACATTCCATTAAACTGTTTTGGCCCTTCTTTATCGTGTTACAACAGCCTTCAAACTCTGTCTAGCATCGTTAGAAATTCTGTCTATGGTCAAGGGCAAACCTTGTCCTATGCTGAGATTATGCATTGCTGGAACGTTATTTATGAATCAACAAGTATACTTGGACATTACTTGGTGTATACTAGTATGGAAGGCAAATAGTTGGTTGAATACAAAATAATAAATCTATTAACAGAACATCAAAAAATTAAGCATCGTTAGAAATTTCTTTCTATGGTCAAGGCAAACCTTGTCCTATGCTGAGATATAGCATGTGAACGTTATTTATGAATCAACAAGTATACTTGGATACTTGGTATACTAGTATGGAAGCAAATAGTTGGTTGAATACAAATAAAATCTATAACAGAACATCAAAAAATTAAAAGAGAAAAATAAAATAAAATAAAATTTTAAACATGTAACGCAGTTTTTCACGTTAGTGCCAGTCGGCTCCTCTTTGGTTGTTGATGCGGTTCCCCTCCCGCTGATGCAGTGCCCGGTGGGAGGGATCCTATGCCGGAAGCTATCGGAGGCAGATCTCGCTCCCACGGCTCGAAAGAGACCCCGCCCACTCTCTCATGTTCGAAGTGAGTCCGCATTTCGCAGGACACGCACCGCCACAAAACAGAAACTGACGTCACCAGCGTGAAGACATTAGGGCGCGAATGGGGTGCAGCCCCTTGGAGTGGTCAACTGGTTGCACGCACTTTTGCATCCGGAAAGATGGTCGCCCATTTGTATTTCTCCGAAGTGGGGAAGGGCCGCGCTAGAAATGCGGAGCACATAGTGATCATCACAGTACATCGGAGTCAAAGCGAACACAAATAGCGAAGCATTCGCATGAGGAATTTGTTTTTCTAGATGAAACGACTAAAATCAGAGCTACAGTGGTTGATTATGAGAGTACAAAGCTGGCATTATGAAGAGTAAAACGTAAAGAAGTAAAGTTAGTTAACGTTCCAATGGGTGGAAAAGAAATATCTTTCCTGGGATTTCAGGCTGCTGTTACCTTCAAAGCGAAGTATATTCTAGAATTCTCAAATAAAATTATAATATAGCTAATTTTATTATAATTTTAATTTTCTCCCAGCTTTAACGGACGAGCATTGTGTGTTATATAGACTTTTTTCTGGAATATGCTCAATTTAAAGGAGCCTAAGCAATTGAAAAGGTCTGTGAGAGGTAGCCAAAAGCCATGATTTTGAGTTTTTCGAGTACAGAATGTCACGATGTTCTGACAGCAAGTCTCGTAACCTCCTATAAGACACGTTTTCCTACCATAAAATATGTTTCTCGTCAGATGGTAGTATAACACACTATTAGTTTGGCATACTTTTTCTCTTCTCTCACGTGTTTTCTTAAACAAACCGCTTATCAAAACTGCATTAATAATCTTTTCTGACCCATTTAATTACTGGTTTACAAACATTGTTTTGAAAATAATACAATTAGATAAATTTAAGATTCATTTTCCCTTTAATAGTAATTTTTGTTCACCCACCATTCGAAATAGCCCCTAAGAATTAACCAGTTCAGACTAACTCTTCCTTTTCTGCTTCCGACTTTACTGGAACGACATTGTGAGCGGAACCTTAGAAATTATCCCTAATCACAGTGTGACAGCCGCCTACCTTACACTCCGTTTTAAGCTTGCTTGCTCTTCAAATTCACGAGCTGTACAGAGAGAGAGAGAGAGAGACACTGTCATCCAATCGGGAGCTTCGTTAAAACTTTGTATTGGAGCTCTCGATTGGACGGCATTGTCCCCCCTCTCTCCTTCCAGCTCGTGACCATAAAGTGTCACAATGTTTGAAATCGGAGTACAATGAGTTCCACTTCAGCATCGTTCACCACGCTTCGACCGACCTTGTTCTGCAACCGCTGCATCTGCGGTTACTACGTTAAGGTGGGAGTGAAATTTTCAACATATAACAGTTTGCTGGTCAGGCGTGTTGTAATATTCGACTGGCGTGGCGCGCCGAGACTTAGTACTGCCTCACTAGTAAGCATGGGGGCCATGGCTCCCTCAAATCCTAGAGTATTCGTTTACCTTCCTTTATTTGGCAAAACTGATTTAAATATTAATGTTCGAATTATGTAATTATTAAAACAATAATATTGTACAGTACCACATCTACAGTACATAAATAATA